GATACAACCATATCTTTCACTCAAAGACAGTGTGATGTAGTGGATAAAGTGTTGGTCTTGGAGTCAACAAGATCTGAGTTCAAATCTCACCTCTGATATTTACTAATTCTGTGATTATAGACAAATCCCTTAAGCTCTCTGTGTCTCAATTTCTTCTTCCATAAAAGGAGGATGATAATACTTAACCATCTTATAGTCGCTCCTCTGATACGTACTGGTGACCTAATCCTGGGCAAGTCACTTAAAAGGCCACTCTCTATGATTATAAATTGCAGGGAAGGTGCCAACCTGCATTGGTAGAGAGTTTTCTTACCTGGGAATTCCATATACCATTGAAATTACCTATTACCTACTTCACTAGGCTGCTTTGAGGATCAAATGAGAAAATGTCTATCAAGTCCTATATAAACATTAGTTATTATTTCATGAATTTTGTGACTGAGGGTGCTGAGTAGAGACCACTAAAGTCATTCTTCTATCTCTGGACAGGGGTGTACTTTAACCAACATGTACAGAAAGGTACCTATTATCTTCTCAGGACATTCATAGATAGACCTTTAAATTAGTTCTACAGTAGACAGAATACACCAATAAGCTAAGCTAGCATTTAAACATAAGGCTTGCAAAGCGGGTACATACATTATTTCATTTGACCCTCACAGCAATCCCATGGAATAGGAGGTATTATTATTCCCATTTTACAGATGAATAAACTGAGGCTGAGAGAGGTTAAGTGACTTGTTCTAGGTCTGAGGTGGGATTTAGACTCAGGTTTTCCTGACTTTAAGCCCAGTGCTCCTATCCACTGTAGCCATATAAGTTCCTTGAATGTGTTCGAATGAACTATTTTGTTCTTTGCCTTTGTATCGCCAACACTTAGCACAATACCTTGGCACATAGTAGGTTTGTTGATTAATTGATAGTTCATTAGAGCCACAGCAAATATTTGGCAATCCATCTCATCACCACTCTCAACACCACCAATAAACACTTATGAGACTCTGTCAGAGGTACTAGGATACATGAGACATAGCCTTGATTCTTATCCTGGAGACTGCTTTATCTGGTTGGGAAGATAGAACATGTACTAATGAAAAGTTTCCATACCCAAATATGAGGCAGAACAATATGACAAATACCAGAGACTGTATGGGTAGTAAATATTTTACAGAGTTAAGAGGAAGAAATAATCATTTGTGCCCCAAGCTGGGCAGGAAAGCCTTAAAAAGAAGAGGTGGGATTGAATCTGACCTATAAAGACTGCATTGGATTTTGTTAGATGGAGAGAAAACATAGTTGATATAGAGGAGAGGAACAAAGTGAGAAAAAGTGTGAAAGCAGGAATGCAGGAGATATTCACAGAACAAAAAGCAGATTAGTTTGGGTAGAATGGAGGGTCCATTTGGGAGAACAATGAAAGATAAGGTTGGAAAGGGAAGTTGGGGCACTGAATGCCAGACAAGGGAGTTTGGGCAATAGGCAGTGGAGAGCCAACAAACATTCTTGAAATCAAGAAGCATTTATTTTTTTAAATGTTTTTATTAATTTATTTTGATTTATCAACAATCACTTCCATAAGCTTTTGGGTTTACAATTTTTCTCCTCCCCCCCCCAAGATGCCATGCAATCTGATATAGGCTTTACATATAGATTCCTATTAAACATATTTTCACATTAGTCATGTTGTAAGGAAGAATTAGAACCAATAGGAGGAACCACAAGAAAGAAGAAACAAAACAAAACAAAACAAATTAGTATGCTTCAATCTGCATTCAAACTCCATAGTTCTTTCTTTGGATGTGGATAGCATTTTCCACCATGAGACCTTTGGAGATGTCTTAGATCCTTGCATTGCTGAGAAGGGCTAAGTCTATCAACGATTAGTCATCACACAACATGGCTGTTACTGTGTACAATGTTCTCCTGGTTTTGCTCACTTCACTCACCATCAGTCCATAACAAATCTTTCCAGGTTTTTCTGAAGTCTGCCTGCTCATCACTTCTTATAGCGCAATAGTATTCCATTACATTCATATACCACAGCTTGTTCAGCCATTCTCCAGTTGATGGGCATCCCCTCAATTTCCAATTCTTGGACACCACAAAAAGAGCTGCTATAAATATTTTTGTACATGTGGGTCCTTTTCCCACTTTATGATCTCTTTAGAATACAGCCCTAGAAGTGGCAAGAAGCACTTATTAAGCACCTACTGTATGCCACACTGTGCTACGCCCTGGAGACATAAAGAATGGCAAAAGATAGTCACTGATGCCAAGGAGCTCATTTCTAATGGATTGGAACTGTGCTTTGGGAAGATCAGTCTGGCTGATTTATTATCCTATATATATATAGGATAGATTGAAGGCAGGCTGGGGTTAAGAAAGTATTGCAATAGCATAGGAAAGAAATAAAGACTTGGGCTAAGTCCCTATTATGCATATTCCAAGAACCACCTATTGGTGAAATCAGATGGAGATAAAGTTGCCACTGATTAATTTGCATGTGTAGAAAAGTGTATTGGACATTCTATCACATTAAATTGGAAGCCTAGTATTGCTCTCACCTTGGTCCCTTCCCCCTTATCCTTCCTCTCCAAACCAGATGCCCCCACACCTTGTGAAATAGGTGGCTCATGTGATTTGAGGCATCAAAAGGCTTCACCACCACCACCTTCTATGTATATCCCTTGCCAACATTGCCTCTGGAGTCACTCTTTTTTTTATTAAGGCATTATATCTCAAGAAGACTCCAGTTAGGGACACTTTGAGTCATTAGCAGTTGTTGATACACTGGCATGATAAAAACCAATTTCTATAAATTTTAAGGTTTCCAAAGCACTTTTCTATTATTTAAGTTTTTGAGGCTGGTAGGACATGTGTCATCCTTATTCTGTAGATGAGGAAACTGGGGCCCAGACGAGTGTAGTGACTTGCTCCTGATCTCAGGTAGCTATTAAGTGGCAGAAGTGGTATTCAAACCCAAGTCTTTCCTGATGCAAACAGTCTAGTTATTCTTTTTCGGCTTTAGCATAGGGTGATTTCTCAGGTTAGCAAATTGCCACTTATAGGGTATAGGGAGGAGAAGAGGGTAGGAAGAGAAAGATTTGGAGTATGAACTACTGCCCTGGGAAGACAGAACTAGGTGAGGAGGCAGTGAGTGAGTGGGTGGGTGGAGGGGGTTGGTCCCTGGGACCTCAGAAGGAGCTTTGTATTAGTAGGGGCTGAGAAATGATGGCACAGTAGAGGGGGAGGAGACCACCAAGGCCACAGATTGACCATCAGTCTGTGTGTTCTATTTTCCTGGCTATGATGATACTGATTGGCAGCTGAGCCAGCCAATAAGAGGACAAAGAAATGTTAGCTGATAATAAATGTGCCCTCTTTCTCCCCTCCCCTCTGCTAATTAAGCACAGGAAGTAGGTCCAGGGCAGCATCTTCCAGTGCAAAGTATGTCCTGGAAGTGTCGGAGTAATAATAATGATCGATATGAAGTCACTTGACTACTGCTTAATTTCTCTGCTACCATCTTTTAAGTACCTGGTGTTGGTGAGGAAGCCCATAAGGTCTGGGCAACTCCACACCCCGTACCAAGGGGCCTGTATTCTGTGACTCAGTGGCTGCCATGATTCAGGTCTAGCTTTGCTGCTGGAATCCAAGCACTGATCTGAGATTCAAGAGACAGAGACTCAAGCTCTAATTTATTGACTGTGAGACCTTGGGCAAACCACTGCCTCTACATGAGCCTTAATTTTCTCTTTTATAAAAATTAGAGGATTGTTCTACATGATCTCTAAGAGCCTTTCCAGCTCTGACACTCTTTTTTCTAAGATCTTTTCTAGTGCTACCCTTCTATATTCTTAGCTGCTTTCCAGTCCCGATGTTTTGTTTCTAAGTTCTTTCCCAAGCACTTCACTTTATACTGTAGCAGGTCTGACATTCTATGTTTAATATTCCAAGGTCCCACCCAGCTCTGGTATTACATGACTGATTCCTCAGAGCTCCTGTAACAGTTACTGTCTGCAACTCAGCACAAATTACCTTTAAAAAAAAAAACCCAGTATTTTTTTTTTCAATTACATGTAAAGACAATTTTTAACATTCATTTAAAAATTTTGGGGGGGTTCCAAATTTTCTCCCTCCCTCCCTTACCTCTCCTCTCACTATGAGGGTAAGCAATTTTAATAGGTTATATGTGTGCAATCATGTAAAATATTTCCCTATTAGTCATATTGTGAAAGAAGAAATGGACCAAAAGCAAAAAATAAAATAAAATAAAGAAAGTGAAAATAGTATGTTTGATCTGCATTCAGACACCATCAGTTCTTTCTCTGGATGTGGATAGCATTTTCCATCATGAGTCCTTTTGGAATTGTCTTGGATCATTGTATCACTGAGAAGAGTTAATGAGGAAAGTCTCATGGCCCTGACTAGACTGTAAGATTTTGGGGTGCAAGAACTATGTCTTATACTCCATCCAGCCAAAAATCTGGCCCAGTGCTGGGTATATGGTCAGTGACCAACTATCATCCGTTATTTACAAAGTTAGCAAAGTTGTCTTCTTTCCATATATGTAGAATGATTTAAATAATATATTTATTATTTATGATATAAAATAGTAATAATATTCTTATAATGAAATAATATGTTTATAATTATAATCACTAAGCATGCTTTAAAAATCTCTGGTTTTGTTCATGACAGTAGAAAAAATACACACAGACATGCAAATATGCATGTAGATATATGTATTTATTCCACGTGTATGCACACCTGTGTGCCTATATCATGTATGTATATACACACACATGTATGCATGCAAGTGTTTTTATTTGAGTTCGATTTGATTCAGAGTTCAGCAAATGAGTGTTCCTCTTCGAAGTTCATGGTTCAGTTCAAGTCCCTTTTGAGAGTGCAGAATGCGATGGTTTCTAGGACCCAGCTAGTTCGGTCTTCTTTAGGCTCTTCGAAGTGATTACAGGGTGGGAGGTAGGATTCTGGGCTTAGTGGTATGTATGAATGAGAGAGAGAGAGAGAAAATCTGAACTGAAAAGACTTGCGGTAGAATAGCTCTGCCGTCGCCAGGCAACTGACCTGACGCAACCAAAAAAAAAGTCCCTAAAAAAAAAAAAGAATAGCACCGCGAATTCACAGGAGCATGGGAGAAAAAGGGAGGGAGCGAGAGGGAGAGGCAGCTACTGAGACAGTAATCAAGAGGCAAGGAAGCAAAGAAAGCCACACCACAAATAACAAGTTGGGTGTATGAAGGAAGAAGACAGAGAAAATATGCCTCTGGAATATTAAACGGGACTGCCTCATCTGTGTGCGTGTGTGTGTGTGTGTGTGTGTGTGTGTGTGTGTGTGTGTATGTGTGTGTGTGTGTGTGTGTGTGTGTGTGCGTGTGCGCGCGCGCCCCGGGGCACTCCGATGCGTGGATGTGTGCAGAAGACAGAAGAGCAGGACCTGAGACTTCTGCTGCTACTGTCATTTGAAGGACCTTGATCCCTCCTCCGGGTGAGTTTCCCCACCTGAACATCCTCTTCAGACAGGTTCCATTTGGAAGAGTTTGGGAACAGACGTTTATCATGAGACTGAACAAAGCTATGACAAATATTCTTGTGGGAAAATGATCTGGCTTTGGCAGGCATGGAAGAGGATAGCCTCAGATGTAGGGGAGGGTTTTTTTGTTTTTCTGCATGTCTTGGTTTTTTCAGCTTCTCAAGCATCAGTTATTGCAACTGAGTTGGAAGGGGGGAAGAGAAAGGGGGAGAGAAAGAACAATAGCAACCTCCTATCCCAAAGTATCTCCCAGTGGTCTCTCACAGACCTATATGTGCTTAGACCGACACAGCAGACAGACACACATACCCAACATCACACACAGAACTACGTGCTCGAAGGAAAGTGGGGCTGGGGGCTGATGGCTCATCCGCTTTTGTTGACATCATTTAGCACATGAGAGAAATCCTTAAGGATAGGAAAGCAAGGTGGCATAGTGGTTAGAGATAGACAGCTTAAGTACCAGAATGCCATGAATTATTTCCCTAACTTTATTCCCAGATGTCATGGCAGGGTATACCTAACCCATGTGTACCCCAGGCACAAGGAAATGAAAGTTCCCAGTTTCTGTTAGTAATTCCCCCAAACAACAGTCGAGAGTCCAGGGCCAAAGGGCCAAAGCTAATGGATGAGAGGAAGCAGTTTAGCAGATATCCCTAAGAGCACCTTGCAAGGTTAATAATTGAAGTTTTCATACCTGTAAGTGCTTTAGGAACTAAGACAAAGTGAGAAACTTGCCACCCTAAAGGGACTATGAGACCTTTCTTTGCCAAAGTCATAAGCACTGAGTTTCCTGAGGTTTGGCTTCTTTCTTTTTTTTTTTAAGCCAAAAAATTGCTATTGCTTCTTTTTGGTTGTTTTTGTTTTGAATGATGCTTAGACATGGGCTTGTGGCTTTGGGTATCTTCTGGGCTAATTAGCACAGTTCCTGGCACATAGTAAACTTTGCTGGTTGTTGAATGATTGCAAGGCAGCTTTGCTCCGGGTTGGTGGTAAACAGATCCTTCCACACCCTCTCTTTCTTGACTCCGGACCTCAAGCAGGGTCTCCCAAACCAAGTTTCTCCATAAACTCCTAGTGAGCTTCTGGGTAAATATGACACCCCCTCTCCCAACGATTGCTTTGGAAAGCGCCCTGTCAGCAGGAACTCATGCCAGATCGTAATGACTGAAGGAAGCAAGGATGAGCTGGCTTAGAGGGACAGTTTCCCCTTTGATCTGTTGAAACCAGTCCCTACCAAACCCTTAGCCATAAGCCAAAAATATGGAGAAGGCTGAACAAACTACTGGGAAATAAAGGCAGATGTGGTCATCTCTAGTTTGAAAGCATTCCACATTGGAGAAGTTATGGGATTAGGATCTGTGGCTTCTGCTGCTGGGTTGTTTTTTTTTTAATAACAAAACCTTGACAAAGCTGCCTGGAGTTATTCTCAGAGGGAAATCCTGACTGAGTTTCTTGTCCCTGGTCCTGTTACTTGAATTTTCTCCTCACTCAGCACCCAGGGGGTAACTTCTTTCCATTCTCCATTCTCTTTCCTTGGATCTCACAGAGTGAGAAGAGTCATCTCTTGGCTGAACCTGGATCTTTCTTCTCAGGAACTTAAAATACTTTTGAATAGAAAAAAAAAAAGACTGAATCTAGCTCAGTTGAAGGACAGAGATTAATCTTCCCCCAGTTTAGTCTCCTGTCCTACTCTCTCATCACCAAATACTGTCCAAGGCCTGCAAATTCCATATACATTAGCATCCTTGCTCCTTTCTCTGTCCATTACCCAGTTACGTCTGCCATTTTAACCTATAAGCAATTCTGGTGAATGACTTGCCCACAAGGAGATTTTTAGCAGCCTGACCTCCCCTTAAAAAGTGTCATCAAAATAGAAAAAGTTGCCTATCATTGCCCTCCCTGTACCAGTGGGCAGGAACCTTTGCAGGGTGGGTTACATAGTCTGATGATACTGAGTCAACTGGCATTTGACTGACTGACTGACTGTGTAGGTATTTCCTATGTATTCTAATGAAAAACTCACTTTGGTTCTATTCACCAATTCAGTTTTCTTTGCCAAGCCATACTTTTTCTCCTTACGCAATGATTACTCTAATGAACCTTGTATGCCTGTGTTGGAGTTGGAGAAGTAGGAAAGGGTCAAGGGATGAAAGAGTTGGCGATTGGGGTGGGTAGGGCCAGTTGCAAAAGGGAAGAGGGATGAATGAAAGGTCACGAAGGGGATGGTTTTATAGGTATGTATCTGGCGTATGTGGCAACAATGCTGACACCATGCTTTAAACTCCTCTTCATTTTTGCTAGTTAGTAGCCCACCTCTTTTTCAGATCATACATTTCATTGTTATAATAACTTTTATTGCAACTTTTTTGCATGTAAGTCACTGTTAGTTACATGTCAGCGCTGACATTGCCCTCAGGATCATCTGTAATTTTGGTTCTTTACAGACTGTGGTCTCACCTGGCTCTGCTCATTGGCCCTGCTTTTTACAGGGCATATTGCTGTGCTGGTGGGTAACAATCTTCACTACTTCCAGCTTTTGACTCAGCTGAAATCTCTGGTGAGGGCACTTCTCTACTCCTTCAGAACCCTTGATACCAGGACCAGAAAAGCCTCATTTTCTGTTTATTCCCTCAGTCTTAGCTCTGACACCTGCCATCTCCTGACAAGCAAGACTCCAGCTCTAGGCACTAAACTTTCTTTCCCCAGTTTTTAAACTCTCTGCCTCTCCTGCACAGAGTGGAACTCACCAAGGAAGTCCATTATCTCTGCCAATTAAGAAATGAATGTGGCCACTTAAATTCCAAAAGTGCTTTTTGTTTCATACCTACTGCAAATGTGGCCACACCAAGGGAGTCTGGGGCTTTGCCTTGCATCCTGACTCTATGAAGATTCATCCGTTTTCTACATCTCATCTATCTTGCCCTCTTTTTCCTTTATGACTCTTAGTCCAGCTCTTTTGTCCATCTGAAATTCTTGCCCAAGCTGCATGTACTGATGGAACAACTTAGTGGGCTACCAGTCCAGCTGCATGTCATGGTCTGGACACATAGGTATTTTTCATCTCCTTGGTTCTTCTTTCATCTTCTTTCATCTCCTTGGTTAAGTGTCAGATTGATGATGTCTTTAGACTGGCCAAGAATCTCAATGAGGTTGCCCTATGACAATCTGGGACTTAATACAATAAATAAAATGTCAATGGCAAAAAAGAATATTTGGAGGACCTCTCTGTGTGGGAATTCTTAACTCAGGGTTATTAAACTTAATTTTTAAGAATATGTATTTTGATAAGTATATTTCAATATAATTGAGCTCCTTTATAAGCCTATGTGTCTTACTTTATTCATTTAAAAATATTGTCATGAGAAAGGGTCCATAGGCTTTACCAGACTTCCATTGCCACAGGGGTTCATCTCACACACACAGACACACAGACACACAGACACACAGACACACACCCCTGGAAGGGGCATTCTTCTTCTATTAGAACTCTGCACAAGCGTTCTCCATAGCTGAGGCAAACACCTTTGGCAAACTTCTTTGCCCCAGTCGCCAAGAAGGTAATTGGTAAACAATGGTATCTCTGGGATTGCCTATATCAAGGAATACTGTATGACCACAATATATGCGTATACCACACCTTGTTAGGGCAGAGCCCACAAGGCTACATTTTGTTCTGCTGAGCCCACTGCTTTTCAAAAATAAACAACAAACAATAAACAAAGCAAGTTATTGTATCCTCTACCCCCCTCAATGAGTTGTGAGATGTGCTCTGCTATAGGCAGTCATCTGCAGTAACCTCCCTGTTTTTATTTTCCTCAAGGATAATCTCAGTACATGTGTGGATGAGGACAGTTTCGTAAAGATTTTATACAGATAAGAAATTAGGCCTATAGAAATGAGTTGTTAGTAACTTGGTTATAGCCAAAAAATAAAATAAAATAAAATTCTATCAGTGATTTTTCTGTGTCTCCACCTCCCCCCATTCTTTTGGAATTTTCTTTGAGATAACTTAAAAATGGATCCCTAAAAGCCTCCAGTATGGACTTCTTGTGTTATGTTGTTATTTTGTTACTGTGTAGTCATGTCCTACTCTTCATGATGCTGTTTAGAGTTTTCTTGGCAAAGATACTGGAATGGTTTGTCATTTCCTTCTCCAACACATTTTATAGATGCAAAAACTGGGGCAAAGAGGGTTAAGTGACTTGCCCAGAGTCATACAACTAGTAAGTGTCTGTGGCCAGATTTGAACCCAGGAAGATGAGCCTTCCTGACTCCAGGTCCTGAATTCGAGCCACTCTGCCACCTAGCAGCCCAGGATACAAATATAAAAAGTCAAAGACAGTCACTTCCCTCAGGGAATTTATTCTAATAAAGAAAATGACAAAAATTGGGGGAATAGTAACTAAAGTGGTTATTGTAGATTGGAAATTTACGGGGATGCTGAGTAGAGTCATAGGAGAATAGATAACCTTAGCAGCAGCAAAGTCAGGATTGTTTTGATTATGATTCCAGAATTGGGATGAGAATTGAGGGTTCGAATGTGGTTCGATGGGCAGAAATTCTGGATATATAAAGGGGTTCTATACCCCCAGCAAGTAGTCATCTAGCTCTCATTTAAAGGCCCCCTTTAATGAAGAGGATTCACTACCCACTGAGGCAGCCCATTTTCACTTGTACTTGTACTTAGTTTTAGTTTTTAGGTGGTGTTTACTTAACACTGGTCTGAAATCTTCCTTGCTACACTTTTTATTTACTGCTCCTAATTCTGCCCCTTGGGGCCAAAACATATAGCTTTCATCCCTCTTCCATGTGACAAACCTTCAACAAACTACCATGTTCCCCATATGTTTTCTCTTCTCCTGGCTAGACATCTTAGTTTCTTCATTTGATCCTCATATGCCACAAGTTTGAGGCCCCTTCCCATCTTAACTCTCTCTGGATGCTCTCCATCA